AATTCGTATCATTTGTCACTTGTACTTCGTGCAATAACAAAATATGCTAAGTAATATTTAAATTTAGCCCCCCTAAAAAAAAATTAAAAAACGCAGGCGTGAACATCTCATCGGAATACGCTTCACTGAAATAGGCAAAAAAAAAGTCGTCTAAAGTATTAAAAAAAAAAAAAATTTTAAGCGTTCAACATTTTGGCGGGAAATCGGTACCATGCACGAATCCTGAAAATGATATAAATCCAAACAATAAGACTAAAACGCATGAAAAGAGTCGCTTAAGCTGCTGTGGCAGGAGAAGCTGCGAACCCTAATGCCAATTAGTGCCATTCCACCAAGAGGTGCCTTAACGAGAGTCTTCATCCTGACGTTCTTTTGTTTCCGATATTCCCTGTTACGCCATACCCCTTACGCGCAACATTTAACCTTAATAACAATATGCGTTCCCCGCTAATTCAATCGGATCAGGAATTAATAAAAAAGAAAAATGCTATATCCGCAATTAAACAATTGTTAAATATAGACAAAAACTTCCGTCTCATATTTATATGCACTTACTGCGCTACCCTCGCATCCTGTTCCCGAAGAATATTTCGAGGTGACGATAGACCCGCCATTTGGCATCGGTTCAATGAACAAGAGGGTTCAACCGGGTATAGCTGAGAGAGCATAAAGGCGAGTTCCGAAAGACCCAGACGTAAACACGATCGGCCAACACAAAAGGCCCTTTTCTCTGGTGTGTTGCCCATCAAAATCCCCGAGGTTATGAGGGAGAAAGGAAATAGGGTAGTTGGTACCCACATTTAGGAAGGGTCAGTATGTACATATATAATCTACAGGGTCATTCAGAATAAGGGGGCCAACTGGAATTGGTTCTGTCATAGAAATCAAATGGACAAGCAAACTTCAATTCGTGTATTTTTTTGTCGAATAACCCTGTACGGCGTATACGTGTAACGGGAGGGTAACCCATTGAGAGGGTTTGCAGGACCGCGACGCGGCGCCCCGTCGCGCCCTTAATTCCCCAATGGACCAATTAGCGACGACACGATCGCCTCTCGCAAATGAGGGTTCTTCGCCAGGATCAGCAGGATTGCCAGAATCTCCGGGATATACCTGGCTGCCGCCTAATCCCAAGACTCGGCAGACATTTTCTCCTGTCATTGTGCCTGCGATTATCCACTCTGCCATTATCCACTGGTTAGCTCAAGCTTCTTCCCCTTTATAACTATATATATATATATATATATATATATAGATAATCGGGTAATTACACACAAGTAAACAACGCAGCCATCGTCCGTAGTCGGAATCGCGGCGATGAAAATCGTACCGACGAAATATATACGTGGGTCATAATTTTTTAAATAATTTTTCATGGCAAATTCACGGTAACGAATACCGCGCCCAGCGGGGACGGAACTGTAAAACTGAAAATTTGTAATAATTTTTGTGATAAAATTTGTAACGGATGGTCCTTTGTTTGATATTGTATTTACGATCTGTTAAAGAGAAATTATATTTTACTCCTGGCAGGACTATGTGTATAATACAATGGATAGATGTTACTTTTAGATATTTCTTAGACATTCATGTTATGCGAGATTATATATTTTTAAACAATTTTAAATTAGTTATATCCATTAAGAACGCAGATGGAAAAAATATAATTCCATAGAGCCGAAAGAGAAAATCCATAAAGTCAGCGAAAGATAGACGTTAAGGTCCCAGAAACGTACTGCCGAAACCAAGCGAATAATATCCCAGCCTGCCTCTTATAGCGTCAGTGAAAACAGTAGAGAAGTGAATTGTCGTCACGGGACTCCATGATAAAAATTGCAAGACTTCGCAACAAGATCTCTAGAAATTCACTGCTTCGCGTTATTTGGCCTGAAAAGACAATGAAAACAATGTAAACCGCGTTAAGCTTAAATATAGTAGTAGTGATAATTCGTCCATTTAAAATGAATTCCCAAACATAAACAGCATATAAATTGAAGTTTCACTCGGTATATCTTGAAGTTACATAACTCTTACGATTTCACTGCGATAACAAAATAAATGTCCTGCGCCTCAAATTTGGACAATATTTCGCTGAATTATTCTAAACAAAACAGATACGACGCTTGAAAATGCCAGGATGTCCCCGAATTGCTGTGATTCTCACGTTAATTTATCGACAAAAAATTCACCTCGTAAAATTAAATCGGCCTAACAATACATCCACGCTTAAATTTCGCAGCTGACGTAAAACTTACGTCGTGCCGCAAACTTGAGGATTGACCTTGCGCCTGTGTAAAAAAATTGCCTATTCACCATTAAGCGACGACAAGTCGCACAGTCGCATAGCCGCGTCGTCTCGGCGCGACGACGATTCGCCATCCTAAACGGACGTAGCGACGCGACGCCGACGCCGACGCCGACGCCGCACCGCGTTGCCTCGCGCCATCGGCCGGCAAACCAAAAGCGACGCCGGCACGCCTGACCCTGCGCGACTCCCGATAAGTCTCGGGAAGGACGTGGAAAGGGACCAGGTGGAGCGCCGACGGCGTCGGGACGGAGGAGGATCCCGGGCGTTAAAGTGACAAGGACGCCCGTAGAGAATCGGGCCGGATAACGATAAAACGTAAAAGAGAGAAGAAAGAGCGATACACTGGATGGCCCGGAAAAAAACCCGCTCACGAGGAGGGTTTAACGACGGCGTCAACGCACACGAGACCGTAGACGCTAATCGCGACTACGTCGAGCGATCCCGGCTCGTCGGAGACTCTAATGAAGCCCACACTTTAATCAAGAGCTTGGGATTTGCCAGCAGCGTGCTAGGTGTGAGAACGGAAAGCAGCGCGTCGCAGGAAATAATTGGACGGGGAAGCCAAAGAGAAAAGTAATGCAAGAGGAGGAGAAACGAATATAGCAAATTTACGGTGTTAACACAAGCGCTGTAAGTGTCTCTCTCTCTCTCTCTCTCTCGCTCGCTCGCTCTGTGCTCCCATCGGCGCCCTCTCTTCCTCTCCAGCCTCACCCCTTGGCAAACTCTTCCCCACGGGTAAGGCGAATTCTATCGCCTAGAATAACACTATCTGGGAAACGTACTGGTTGTGCAACCTTTGCCGCGCGAGTAATCTAGACGTTTCAGTTGAAAATCGAGGTGGCAATGGTGGGTACAGGTGAGAGGGAGGCCAAAGGCGTCGGAATGCGATCAAGGGAAGAATGAGCGAGCGAGCTGAGTGAGTGAGATGGACGAAAGAGATAAATAGATACGGAAAGGGGTGAGAGAGAGAGAGAGAGAGGGAGGGACTGATTGGAGGTTAGGAGAGCGTTTCAGAAGTAAACCTTCCAGCGCTGCGTTCCAACCAAGCGATAACGATTACAAACAAAAAATACGAGAAAAAGATATGTATTAAACGTGCAGCTAATTGCGTGACAGCCGGGGAAGTGGGGCGCGGATACCGTTTACACGCGCAAAACACACCAGGCCGCAAGGCATTTCGTGTAGCTGGAGGCATGAGGCGGTTTTTTCAGCTGTGCACGTATTTGTCCTCGTTGTTAAACAGTTGGACCGAGAGCAACTGTATGCGCGTCGATTAAAAGTATCAATATTGACAAGATTAAAGGATCTTAGGGTGTGCGTGAGGAAACTACCTACAACGACGCAGCAACGGAGCCCCGAAGGTACGTCGGTAGACTTTTATGTAAATATATTTTTATATCAACAGTAGGCGTAACCCCCTAGGATCGCTGTACTGGCAGCCCTTCCTTTTTGGTGGGGTCCAACTACCTCTGTGTCCTGGCAGTGATTCTCAATCTGAACCCCGTATTCGTACCGAAGCGCAGCGCTGCTCGCGGAGGCAGCATGTGCTTCAAGGGACAGCGTGACGTCATTCGGTCAACCGAGGTAAGAGAGTAAACGAGACGAAAGAAACACAGGCAATCCCTATCCGCCTGAGATAGAAGTACGCGAATTATAAAGAGAAAGAGAGAATATAACGTAAAAAAGTGTTGAGATACGTGGTAAAAAACACAGAGGGCAGCAGATGCAATTCTTTCCCCGCGCAGTAGGAATTCACGCTGCACATTGCAGAGGCAAAACACAGCTGCACATTTCCGTGCCGTCTGTTTGTGCATCCACCGTGTGTCCAATATGAAGCGAAGGGAGAAAGAAAAACGTTGAACCGGAACAAAGAAAAAGAGAGAGAGGAAAAAGAAAAACGAAAAGTCAAATGCTCCTCGCGCAAAGGATTCTCGCTTGTGTGACGTAAACACGGTAGAGGCACCTATTGCGAGCAGAACACAATCGCAAATCGCAAAGAAGCATGAATAACGTGATATTACAAGCTCGTAATGTTGTCTAATAAAAGGCAACGTCGCTCGTTTTCAACGCCTTTACGAATTCATAACAAACTATAGCGAACCAGCCTCCATCTTTTCAGACTACGCAATCAATATGAAGAACGGACACTCGTACAGTTAAGCATTAAATGTCTACTGCGCGACGATAGAAATTTATTTAGTCTACCCAGCTATACCGTATGCTTATCGGCGTTATACTTTTAGTGTCGATGCATCACTATCCGACACAGATACCCTAGAAGACAGTACAGTCTAGTGTCTACTATAATGCAGTATAGCGTCGGTGCAACAAGGCACAGCGTGGTATCCATTGTCGAACGTCGGCGAAACGATCCGATGGAAATTCGGAGTATCCGTTTCGGAGCAGCACGTGCGTGCCGAGTAAACACGTGTGTTAATAGAGGGATAGGGATCGGTGCTGGGTACGGGGTGGGGGAAAGTGAGGGTAAACTAGGACGAGAGGAGAGGAGTGAAGGGGCTGGAGGGGCGGGGGTAGACTTGAGGACTGTCGGTTGGAAAGGTTGCGTGTGTGCAGTGAGGTTATGTACGTTGGCTCGTGTCAAGCTGTCCTATGTATACCTATAGGATATGCGTGGCGCGGCTATGCGCGCGCACGCGTGTGCGTATGTGCGTACATGCATGTAGAAACTTACCGGATGTCGTGCGGCCGCAGCGGCGGCGACGGCCGCTGCATTTATTCCGGCACTCGGATACATCTTCCAGGCTGCTGGTGGATACGCTTAAAAAAGAATCGCATGCATACAGACTCGCACGTACACTGTATCCCGTTTTTCGAGACGCCCGGGCCAACGGGCTACGTCACAGGGCAACACCAATCCTCACGAATGCGACGACATATCACCCCGCACACGTTTCACACACGCGGTCGCCCGCAACGGCCGTGACGACGCGGCACCGGAATTCGCGGGTTCCTTTTTTTGTCACTGTGAGAAATCCAATTCCAAATCGCCATTCGCCCTTTGGACTAGCGGGGCTTTTCAAGTTTGAACGAGCAACAAGAACACCGATGAGAACCTTTCTGTTTCACGCACAGCCACTTTTTCAATTTAGTTATGTATATATTCCTAACCTCCGTAAACTATTCACTCTCCGACGTACGTATGACGATAACCCCTCCAACTGCTCTTTGGGTCGTTTGCCGTCGTAACACTACACCAGGAGGGCGGGAATGGTTTTGTATATCCAGAACCGTGTATACCGCGATTAGCGATATCTACCAGACCGATCAATCGGCTTTGAGGTAATGTCGATCACCCGGCACTGAAACAATATCACGAGGTATCCGTACGCCGTAGATCGTGCGGGAACGCGTTACAGATTCGTGAATACATAATGGAGCAGTACTCCGTTATGGAAACGATCGAGAACGAGAAACCTTCCCAAACGATGGTCACGGAGCGACTGGCGTTCGTTACGGTGGTGGGGATGTTCATCCCCACCATCTCTCTCCCGCCGGAATCCCCACCCGAGGCTACTGTGTTTCTTCCCCACTCCTAGGCTTCACCGTACCATAGCGTTGAATACCAACTCCAGACAACTCCGGCACTCTAGCGAATCCTCGCGGCTTTACCTTCTTCTCGCTTCCTATTAACCGGCACGATACCTTCTTTAGTCTCGGTATTAAAAACTAAGAAGCTCCGCCGAAATTTCCTGGGAGCACAAAAATAACGGCGCGACGTTCTTATTAATGTCGATTACGATTCGCATTTCGTGTATGCCGATCGTCTTAAATCTCGTCGAAGAACAGGATAATTTACTTTGGTTTTGCCATAACAGACGCGCCGCTTCGCGTTCTTAATAACGATTTTTCAAATTATCCTTTATCTCTCGGACACCAAAGAGTTAGTGCCGCCTACGTAATTCTAATCCAAACTCTATCGTTTCATCTCTCGTAACCAATGAATCGTTTTATATACAGAGGCTTATACACTTTACCGTTACCGTCCGCAGCACGTAGCATAGGCGGACGAGTATTAGCCCGGACCCTGACGAGCAAACAACAAATCGAAAGTTTTTCGCAAAATGGCCGTCACCAGGCTGACACGGATGTCCGCATAAACTCTCTCTCCACTCGTGATTTCCCTCACTTCCCATACCACGACAAATATGGCGCCTCTACCCGCTTTTCCCAACCCCCAGCAACTACCCCAATGCGACGAGAGCCTAGTGAGCGAGCGAGTGAGTAAAAGAGTGAAAGAGTAAGAGAGAAGGACGCGGCAGAAAGGAGCCAGGAGTATAAGGCACAGAGAGACGTATATATTGGCAAGGGACTAGCTTGTACGAGAGTGTGGATGAGACTCTGAGAGCGAACGGGTAGTAGGAATGCCAACGTGTGAGTAAGGGTATGTCCCTATGTGAATATCTGAAACACACGTATGCATATACCCGTACCAACACAGCAAACCCAAGGGAGTCGAGCAGTTTCCTACTTGATTGCCGCTATCGTCCACCGCTCGTAAGGCGACTAGTCCGCGCGGAGTCTGAGAAGCTTCGACCAATGGGAGAGCGGCGCAGCGACTCTTGGCCAATCAGCGCGCCGGGCTCCCCTCTAGCCCAACGAGAGAGCCAGAAGCCACTGGAAAGAACGAATGAAAACTGACGCAGCGCCAATGAACGTACCACTTTTTCCATCCGCTTTGGGAACGCGCGCTCGTTCGGTCCGCGCGGACTGTCCCTATAGTGAGCACGGAATGAAGGTGCTATGCGAAGCCGCAGCGAAACATGAAAAATAGGAGGCTACATGGGGAAAAACACGAAGCAGGGCTCGCCGAGGCCGAGCCGTGGGATGGATCCCGATCCTAGGAACCGAGACACGGAAAGGACTGGGATGAGAATGGAAAAGTAACATAACGAAACGTCGATCCCATTACCTGGGGCCGCGCTCGGCTTTCGATGGATATATATAGAGGCACCGCAGTGGTATAGGTCGCCTTTCGACCCTTAATCCAAAGGTGGATTAGAAAAGCCCCATTGTCACGCTTCGGGGAAGCGGTAGATGCATCCGAGAGCGCCTTAACGAAATAAACTCTCTGTCGTCATAACGATTCGCCGCGTCGGAACATTCTCCCTGACGACGTCGACGTCGACGACGACCACTCCGAGGACGCGACGCTCCGACGCTCCGACGCTTTGACGCATTTGTTTATTGTCACCGCTCGTTCTCACTATTTTCTTTTGTTTCTTGTTAAAACGAGTAAGGATGCGGCGCTGCGAGCGTCGCGACGCTGTCGGTTGCAGTCGAGTGCTTGCGGTTTGTACCGTAGCTGCCGACGCCGACGCTGCTTCCCGTGTTATCCTCCTCGTCTTCTTACCTTCTGGCTGTGTCACGTGTACGTTATAGGGTGTATAGTTGTACACTCCGTTCGACCTTTGAACCCTATAAGCCTTTCTTACTATACGTACAGTCTCTGCTACACTATGTCGCGTCAGCATTCCGGTACTGCATCAGTATTTCGGGTCTGTTGGGGGTCTCGAGTTGGTTCGACTTTACACGACCTTACTTCACTGTATTACAGTAGTGACATTTGCCGTAGCCTTTGGTGCCATTCGCTACGTACGTCGCCTCCTTGATTCGCTTGCCTTCTCACCCTTGCAAGGTGGTGGTGCTGGTGGTGGTGGTGCCGCTCCTGGAGGAAAACACGAGGTACAAGTACACGATGCCATTCGTCGCCCCACTGAAAATCCAACGGAGACTCTGGTGAGGATCGTCGGGAAGCGGTGGCTGCGGTTCGCGGCTAACCACGCTCCGATGCTTTCCACTGCAGGATACTGCAGACCACGCTGAATAGAGTGGCTACCACTTCCTATTGATAAGAGCGTCCTTCGGTATATATATGTATACCTACAGGCACAACCACTGTTATACATTTTCCATCCGTGACAGATACAGATATTCATCCGAGAAGTCGAAAATGCTTGTTCGGTATTGATTAAAATTTATGCAATCGGTCACTTACATTTTTTTAAGGCCTCGCGTGCCCGATTACGAATAGCGACAGGTGCCTTTCGAACTGAAGATTGTAGGCTGGATTGAGTTTCGGCATTTCATTGTTCAAGAAGAGGGAAAGGGAGAAATTGAATAATTGTGGCTTGGCTAATATACCGGTAGTGGCTCTGCTTCGGTTTGGAATGCTTTGAAATATTTATGAACCGTAGCGGGGTTAATTCGTGGTAGACGGAGAAAAAAAAAGTGTCGGCTTTCAAGATGGCGAAGTTCCACCACGTTCGAGGTATTACTTGTGTACGTACACGGGTTATACGCGGCTATAATGTACATACATATACGTATATACGTATCGTATAAAACTCCCGTCTTTTTCATCGTGAAAATTAATGAACGTGGACTAAACACCGGGTTACGAATAGGCGTACCAACCTAACCTCACCCGACAGTCTGCTATCTCTATACCAACCTAGGAAACTAATAGTTCTGTATAAATGCCTCATGGTACCGAGACAGAGCCAGGGTGAATATAATGCTAGAATACAGGCAGGAGGGTAGTTTCAGAAATCGACGTCAAGGTTGGTTGTCCTACGGTCACCCTATATAAGGGGTGGGACTTTGAAGCGCTAATAGAATTACTCGGCCCTACAAGTTTTTAACGGTCGATTTGCCTCGGTATTCCCCCATCACGATTCTTGCTCCTTTCCCTATCTGCCAGAACCATCCCTCCCAGCCTCCTGGAGTCGGCCAGTTAGATACCCTTGGAAGGGCCACGCAGAACCTACCCCTGGCTCACCCGGCTGTTCGACATTTCGTCACGCCGGGGGGTCAAAACTGCCCGCAGATGTCGGCCATAAACCCTCCGGGACTACCCGTACCGCCATTTCGGCATTGTATCTCCCGCTGAATACACGCCCTTAAATAAATCCATCCCTGCAAAACCACCCCTGCAGCCCAGATTAGGTACGTGCTAGGTATGGAGCATGTATATATGTATACGGACTCTTTCGCCCCCCCCGGGGAGACGCGGCTACGATGACGGAACTATTTCACTCTCGAGGACTGGCAAAAAGCATAACCAACCCCTGTCATACTATACCAACCCTCGGAAGCTACCCTTTTATATATAGCCTCTACTGTGTACCTTATGTACCATATAGCTATAACTTTCAATGATTTCGACTCCCTGATTCTCTTCTCTCTAATTCATATTTTCTCACAGGAGATCATGACGTCACCGACTATCAACTTTACCAGATTCGTCTTTAACCTCCTCAACGATAACAGCACCGAACGGTCCGATCGGCCGAATGCGATAAGAGTTATCAATCACTCTCGGAGTATCGTCGAGTGCCCGACCTCCGCCATTAAGGTGAAGTCCATTATTATACTTTGTAGTGGAAAATCAAAATCCCCGGTTACATATTTATCATTAGTCAGACATCCTGAATTATTCGACTTTCGAATGCTTAGCTTAGCTTCGATAGCTTTTTTTTTCACTGTTCCTTCAATTATTTTCTCATTCGATAACGTCTAAATGCTAATCGAACATTATAATTTCTACGCCAACGCACTGACTTTTCTCCTCTTTTGCTACTCTCGGCTCAAACGTGTAAACATCTACGGCGACACGAAGAAATTAACCTCCTGCCTACCTGCCTATACCTATACCTATACCTACCTTACTACCCAACTCTCCAATTCGAGTAGGCGAACACAGGTAAAGCCTGCTGTCCACGGCGCAGCTTTCGGTATAGCTCGTGCCAGCCATCAGCCATATTGTAAGCCATAAGCCACAACCATAAGGTGACTGAACGGCTCGGGCGATTAACAGGGTGAGCATGCGTGTCGAATAATTACGCGTTTATTAGCCAAAAGATATTTTGGACACCAAGTATATAAAGTTTCGTCTCTCTTCACGATTATCTCCATATATACATTTATAAATACATATATACATTTATAAAGTGCTTAATAAAGCCGATTGACGAACACGTAGATAGATAAGAATTGCTCCGAAACTATCGAGTAGGTTCTGACGTTAAGGAAATACCTTATCTACGCCCTTGCGTGTCTGAGTTCCCGTATTCGTTCATTGTTTGTGCTCATTTTACGATTATTATCGGACGGATCAGTGAACGATAAAGATTTTCATATAAATTCCATAAATTCCTCGATAGACCGGCAGCGATCCCCTTACGAAATCCTGAATCCGTTTTCAATTTATTATCCTACATTTTTTTTTTTATTTTATTTGTTTAGTATCACCTTGTGCATGACGTCACGTAGCTGGCACGTAGTTTGTTGCTATTAAGAGGTCGCATATGGCTATCGAGAGAGGCCGACTTAATACTCGGATGCATTAGCCTAATGGGGGCTGCCGAGCGTGTAAGCCTACTAATTTGCCTGTCTCTTTTTTCTGCTCTTTTATTTTCTGTATTTTTATTCTCTCTTCCTTCACCCCACTCTCTCTC